TACGGGTAGGTAGGTATCTATGGTACATAACATTATAACGTCGGTATAATAGCTCCCAATACGACTGTGGCGAGGTATGCGCATCGCACACTATTACCAGAAACAAATAACGATAATAATTGCCAAGGCGGCGCATTTTGACGACTACCGTACTTTAGTCTATAATACACAGGCAATACAGACGACTACGGCGACGACGTATATAATACATATATAAAACGTTGTTATTACTTATTGCGTATATTATACTGATGGCATTTTACCGTCGTCGGTCTCAAATCCTACCTATATATAATACACGTAGGCATATAGTATATATATATATATGTATATCTTACAACGATATAATTTGTGCTCGTCTGTCAGGGCGGCAGTAATATATTATAGGTATAGGACATCGTGTACGTTATATTATATAGGTAGATACCTAAGTTGCCCATATCGTATATTATAATATATTATTTTGTTGAACGACGACGCGTACTTATTAATTATTATAATTGCAGTAGTCGTAACTATAATACTGTACGTGATATTATTATTATTATTATTATACGTTTGCGTACGACGGTTTCTTACTCTACACGTCTTTTGACGTGTGTGTATAGGTTATAGTCATTACGGTCCTGTCGAAGGATTGAACACGGTACGCAACGGTGTTATTTATATTTTTAAAAACGTACCTATATTATAACAGCTGACCGTAAAATAAATATATCAATTATAGTTGCCTAGCAGTGGCTGCATAAAATAATATATATCGTCGCGACCATTAGGCATGCATAATGGTATAATTAGGTAGATGCAGATTTACGACGGAATAAACACTCTTTCACTGCAGCATGTATGGGCTTGATATTTTTTATGTCGAAATAAACGTTATTTCTATACCTATAATGTTACATTACGTATATATATATATATATTATAATAATGATTTTTGTCTTTAAAATGCAAAATGCATAATATTATTATCATGCAGGCGAATAACAATTATATTTACAACAGTCAATACAATAATATAAATTTCTTATATACCCATTATACATAATAAAAAGGATATAAACAAATGTTGGCATGTCACAGGTATATAAACACTAAATAGGTAATAATATTTTGTGAGTTTCAAAAAAAATATATCCGAATGACACTAAAACAAAATATAAATAATGTGTCAATAATTTCCGAGATTGACTGGAGAAGTTATGAATTCAATTCACTCTAGGTAAATACTATTATAGGCTATAATAGTACTAATATATGTATATAATTCTCTGGTATTCATACCGCACATACGTCCCTAAAATATTTAATTTCAATTGTTTTATAAAATAATAAATATATACCTTATTAACTAATGTAGTTATGTATTATGTGTATTTATTCAGAAACGTGCAATATTGATGTGCATTTTCTCTAAAAAAAAAAAAAAAGTAGGACGCATAATAAAGAAAAAAATGTACAACTACTTACATTAAGCGTTGGACTCTAAATAATACATTATATGAATATGATTTATTAATCGAATGGAATTTTAAGGAATGTTATTAAATAATAGTTAAAATTGTCTAATACTTCAAATATCTATTAATGTTAGGTGTGGAAAACTAAATTATAAATTATAACTTTTAAAGGGGGGCAAAACGATACTATTGCCCCCTCAATAAAATATCTGGAGGGGCAGTTGCTCCCTCTTGCCCCCCCCCATATTACGCCTATGATTATTAGGTATATAGTTCTTATGATTATTATCGTCGTCGTCGTCATAGCCGGCGCGTAAAATAATAATAGTTAGCGCACACTTAATAATATTATAGCCGTCGTGTTTTCACGGAAGTCGTGCAGCAGCGAGTGTTACCGTTACCGCGGTGGGTACCCGTATTGGCGATACCCGCCAAATGCGTATAATAATAATAATAATAATAATATTATATGTATGGGCACAGCGAATATCAGACGAGAGACATGATATTATATAGTAGCAATAATATAACAGCGGCAACATATTAATATAAATAATATTATTATTATTATTATTATTATTATTATTATAATATTATGTGCACGCCGCCACTGATCGGCTGCAGCGATGGTTTTCCGCGGTACCGCCCGATCGTCAGCCGAAGGAGAGGACTTTACTAGTTGTGGGGTGGAGGGGAGGGGACGACGACACGCAATAATAAAATATCGCGTCATATACCTATGTATAATGGGTATTCGGCCATAGGTACACACGTCATTGTATGGGTACATAATATAATAATAATAATATTACAGACAACTCGCGATATAACGAAAATCTCGATATAACCAGTGGCGGACTGGAATAAAAAAGCCCGGGGTGCAAAAACATTTTTAGGGCCCTATCAACATTCTATAAAATAAAAAACATATAATGCRCTTTCTACTTTATTCTCAGCAATTTTTTTTAATGTATTCATTATAGTACATACTTATTTTCTTAAATAAGAAGAATTTCAGTTTTTAAACAATAGGACTGTATAAACTTAATCTTAATAGTGTAAGATAAATTTAATTTTTTTTATAATAGTTACATTTTTATCTTTTGAAAACAATTAATAAACATCTTGTATTATATTTGTGTATATAAAATGTATAATTTTTAAAAATGTAATAATTTATATCATATCATAATATATATATAAAAATAAGTATGTTGCTATTACCACATAATAGATTACGAAGTTTTTCTGATGATTATCATACGATATTACACTCAAGTACAGTATCGCAATTAAGATAAGACTTATGACGATTAGTGGCTCTACGCAAATTATAATAAATTTTATACATATTATTATGTATACGAATAATAAAATTATTAAATAAATATGTACATACATATATGTATTTGTATTTTATTGATTTAAATTTTGAATTTTTGTTTTAAATCTCGTTATAACGAATTCAACTGGTATATTCTCGCTTGATATAACGAATTTCGATGTAACGAACTTTTTTCTCGGTCCCTTGAAATTCGTTATATCGCGAGTTGACTGCATATTATATTATAATATGAGTATCGCTGCTGCAGCACTGCACACACACACACACATAATGTATATATAAATGTATGGGAATTCCTCGCGGGCGCTCGGAAGGAAGGACTAGAGAAGCCGATAATGTTGCGGCTCGTATAATATATTATACACAAGGTATGCTATATGTGGAGGGAGGGAGACGTCGTCGCGGAGGAGAAGCGGAAAGTAAAGCGAAGCGAAAAAAAAAATCATACCCAATAATATGAAAACGCGTGCTTGTGTATTATATTATATGAAGAGAGAAAAAAAACGTATAATACAGAGGAGACTCGGGCGCGCGCGCGAACAATGGTCGCGAAGTTATAAATACAAATACAAATAATAATAATAATAATAATAATAATAATAATGATAATGCGGTGGAAAGAGTGAAAAAGAAGTGAAAAAAAGGAACACAAACACGCGCGCTGCATAATATATATATATATATATAGGAGTCGCACAAAATAATATATATAAAACGGCCGAGTGAATTATTTATTATATTATGCGGTTCGTATATACAAAATAATATACGATTCAAAGAAAACTACTGTGGCGGCGGCGTCGGCTGTGACTCGGTGCCACTCGACCTCGGTGCTGGGTGGGTGGAGGTGTCGTCGTCGTCGTCGTCGTCGTCGTCCACTTGCGGTCTCGCGCATTTGCATAAACAATGACACGAACCGGCTACCGGATTCCCAGCTCACGCGGCGGCAGTGCCAGTGGCGACGATCTCGACGACCGCGCGTGGGTTATAGCTGCAGCCCGCCGCCGCCGTCTCAGCGCCTAAACGCGCACGACTTCCTCCCATATAGTGGATAATAATAATAACATGTAATGTACGACTTTTTTTCGACGTCAGACATTATATCGTTTGTAAGTCGACTTCTGCACATAGCAGCGGTCGTGAATATAATATATATAWAAAAAAAAAACGTTTTTGATCCGTTTGAAACGGACYTATACCTATATAGGTACATATTATTATACTTAATATAACGTGAGATGACGTCGTCGTACCCGCGCGCATATCGTTATCGTGCTTGACTTGCATATTATCATATCAAATCTATAYGTGCTGGATTCTTACCAGTGCAGTTATATTTTATTGATGTGGATAATATAATTATAAAGACRATTTATACTGAACATCGATTAATATAATATTGAACTATAGAATAATAGGATTTTACACTTAGCTCTATRTAGCAAACATTTTTTTTCTTCATATTTTCACCCTAAAACCATTTATAAGTATAGGTGTTTAATACCGAGTTCAATTTTTTCGGATTCATAATATTATGTATAACTTGTTTTAAAATAAAATCATGAAAAACAGGACTTTTTAGTATAGAGTATATGTATACATATATATTATATACCTAGTGTTTATTCTTCTCTGAAATGTCTATAAGATAATTTTCTCTTACACAAATCATAAAAAAGGTCTAAATACTAATCGACGATGCTTTTTAAATTAAATATTAAGTCGTATCATGAGGGTTTAGAATTCGTAATATTTTACATAATTACCAATAAGGAACTCGTTTAAAAATCAAAACATCAATAAAATCACATTATTTGATGTACCTTACCTCAGATAATATTTTTACCCTTACCTATAATAATAACTCGATTCATTTTAATATGAAAGCTGAACAAACAAAATCGTTTCTTTTGAATTCAAAGTCTACTTACCTGTACTTTGTTATGACGTAGATATATAGGTTAGATATCTGTATATAGGAATTATAGGTAATAGGTATACCGTATACACGCGGGTTCTGCGTCCAAAACACTATAATAAATATAAAAATATACTCATATAATATTATAGTATTAGAATATTTTATGTAGAATATACAAACGTGATGAGTAAAAAATGTTAATTTTTCAGGTTAACGATATGAAAACATTTCGCCGTGGCATATTGGTTGCGTTGCAGTTTTGACCTGTTACTTCTCCATCTGCATCTACCATAATATATTATGTTTTATAGTACGTGATTTTTCTACCTAAATTTCAATTATTTCATCATCCAAACAATAAGATGATCTGATGACGATTGTATATCGTTTCGACTTACCTATATCGCGCTGAATCCATAATTTTGTATAAATTAAAAAAATATATATAAACTTCAGTCTTAAAAATGTTTAAGTACATTTTATTTGTTACGTTAATCGTAAGCATATCATTTCAATACAAATGTGAATTTAAAGATACGAAAACTAAACTTCAAGCAATTATTACACCTATTGGCATGGTATATCGCGATGAGATAAATTATTCGAATCGAATACCGAATCGTACCAATCGCAATCGTATGCAAAAACGGAATAACATTAAAACCAAAGGAATCTACGTAACCATATGGTTAAAAAAAAACACTCAGGTAAAATTGTTTCAAAAATTCTTCGAAAATTTAAAATGTATACTATATGGAGGCCATGTGTTCTTAAGGTTATGTTTATATTTTAACTTAATTTTAAATACTTTTGATTTAATTAACTATACTTGTCCAAAATTTGAAAGTTTTTTATTGAAATTAAGAGATAGATATATTGTTTCGTATGTGATATGGCTAGTTTTTAAGTACCTTATTATTTTATTATGAAAAAATATAAATTGTGGTTATCATMATTTTATCAAATATTAAAYATTGAAAAAATGTAGTGTATTTTATTAATAGTAATAATTAATTTGTATTGTTTTATAATTAATAATTACGTATGTAATAATTGCTATCCTTCCTTCCACGAAAGATTCGTACCTAATTTTGCTTCTAATGGGAAACAATACATACCACTACGAYGCTTAAGGACCGATTTCTATGTATATATATATCTATATACTATATATATATGTATATAATATATTAATATGTACCTATATAATATTTATACAGGAATATTTTTCGAAAGACCAAGTGATAATTATCGATCACGTTTACGAAGCTGTAACAAACAAAATGAGAAAACTAATAAACCCTTACATAATAGTGATTCAACAAGACGAAGTACTGGAATCGTACAAACTYAAACGCTTACAGGTTAGTATGGTGTTGAAATGTTTTCATAGATTGTATATGTATGTATTTTTAAGGTTTTTTTGTGTGTGTGTGTGTGTGTGTATAACAAGGTGGTCAACTCTGAAGTGAAGGAAATTGTGTTCAACAAGGAGTCGAACAGCCATTATCCTGGCTGCTACGCAGACTCAAGACGGTCTACTTGTCATGCAATGGCTGCAGCTGCCGATGTCATCCCGATGCAATACAGTGAAGTATAAGAGTAATTTCGATGAAAACAATTTAAGGGATGGCTGTATCACAATCTTTTGGGTTGTATCAGGGATTTTGTTGTTCTTGTGATATGGCGGTGAATATCGAGAGGCAGATGAACGACTGTCAAGGACRAAGTMGGTTCAGGCACGTTGTMCACGGGACGAACGCGTTAAACGACGACATTGAAACGCTGATCAGTCAAATGATGGACAATCTTGACTCGGGCGACGAAATGATTGCAAACGATACTGCACCGTCATCGCGTACTGATAAGAAACAAATACGCGGTGGCCAAAACTGTGAATCCACAAATACGYCCGGAAATGTCGACGAAGCGTATCGGTTCCACGAAAGCAGCCATTGTTTGAAATTCAGCGATCTATGGTGAGATCAGTATAACGCGATTATGCCTATATGTGCAGTGTTACGGTTAATCATCTTCTGTGCCCTGCAGGTACAACGTGAACAAGTTAGAGTCTGCGTCATATCACCATTCGCTTACAATAAGTGTTTATGAAAAATATACAAGGGATGGTGTTGTACCGTTATACAGGAAAATTATTTCCAAAGTCAAGTAAGTTATCATTTTCAAACACCGCTGACGACCTAACATAATRTTATCTGATATTATGAATGTATAATGTGTGAGTGATGTGATTATTATATAATATGAATGATCAATACATAGTTATGTGTTAARATTTTCATCAAGCACAGTTAAGCAYACGTTCAAGTACATTTTATAAACCTGCCAACTGGTTCAACAGCTACGACTTGTTTAKATTTAACGTCCCATTACGCTCCAAAGTCCTTRTGGTCTGCAGTACAATCTACACACAATTTGCTTGAAATTAAAATGAAAAATTATTTTTTACTATTTCTTCAATACTCGTAGATTATAACAATTAACAAAATAATACACTTTTTGGAGGACGCGAATAATTATACTAGAACTAAGTTGAAGTACGTTTTTAAATCTATAAACACCCATCACTGAAATAAACATTTATAAGTTATAGTAATTTGTTGCATAATTAGGTAATTTGGTAATTCATCAAGTTGTATTTCATTTACTGAAAAGTGATGATTTCGGTAACACCCCCAATTATTATAATATTATCTTATTATGTCATTAGCCATTAGTTCATTACTAACAATATTGCTTAAGAAGCATTATATGGCAATATAGTGTACAAAGAGTATTGGTTAAGTAGGTAATACATAACYGCTACTTTTGTTTGAGATTAAAAGTTTATTGAAATGTAATTTAAATCACATAACAAGTCATTAAATTTCCATAATATTTCAATGGTTTTCTTTACCTATTTAATATTTACCTATAGTACGGAATATAGTATGAAAAATTTTAATCGTTTTTAAAGTATAAATGTATTTGAGTATTTGATGTAAATGAAAAATTATTATTAAATAGGTTAAGTAACAATAACAAGAATTATGAAAATTACGAGTCAAATGTGCAAGCAAGTTATGTAGCTTTAACATTTGGTGATGATCAATACTATAGTTTAGACATAAACAGTGATAGACTTTTGATACCAGAAAAAATACCATCAATAGTCGAACATCTTTATCCACAGTCAACAGGTGATTTTGTTTTTTATTTTATTTTTTTATTTTACAATTTGAAATATACAATCTGTACAACATAGCACAATAAGTATATATGATAATATAATAGTWACATGAATATTTTGTATTAATAAGTCACCCATTGATGACACTTGACTGGAAATTAACGCYGTCTAGAGTCTAGAACTTGGTTGTTTTATTTTTTTTATTTTTAATAGGTGATTTTGTAAATAATAAATATGCGTTTGTCAGAAAACTGAAAAAAAATTATTATTACTAACAAAATAATATATTCTAGACGATCCAAAGAAATATTTAATTTTAAACGCAAACAATATAAGTACCAAAGGTGACGAATGTAATAAAGTTGGAGTATCATATGAAGCATTCTTCAAACAACACAATAGATGTGGAGTGAAAAGATCTAGTTGCCTAAACAACCAACCATCACATTTGTGGAAACATGATATGGTATATTATGAGATATTATTTATAGAAAAAYAAGTATTATTATAATAATAATACTTATTACTTATAGACTATAGTACTATTTTACAATCAGATTTAAAAAATATTCCTTATTGAGATAGGTTAGACACACACACTAATAATTGTWTACGAATTATTTMATTATTTCACGATTATCACACCCTTTATATTTATTTTATATTTGCTTAAATATATTGTATAAATACTTAAGTAGATTAGTAATAACTGCAATTATTTTATTCAAAACCCACTTCAAATGCTTTTTCAAAATTGAGAATTTCATTATTTTTGATTACCATACTAGGATGCAATCGAGTCAGGAATTCCAGGGAGTTATTTTCTAGAGAATTTTGTTAAATTTCCACAAAATTCAAACGTAATGCAAAAAAATAACGGGACTGAAACATTAAATTTACATTATGAAATGGATTATACTAGTGAATTATTTATTCACAAGGAAACAAATTATAACAGTGTACTTTCAACAAGGTAATAATTTAGGAAATATTTTAACAGTTAAATTATAAACTTATTTACACTTAATTGTTTTTTTAGTAATTAATAATTATATAYTACATATTGTAATAATAATTTAATTTTCATAAATAATTTGTTATAAGTTTACTTATAATATAAAGTCGTCAATTAAAATTTAATGACACAAATATTATATTAATAGTATTTTGTCTTTTTTTTTTATTTATTTTTTTTTATTAACACAAATGCTTCAATTACTAGGATTATTAGCCTATATTTTTGTCTTTTTGATAGGCCAATATTTTATACTAGTAGGTATTCCTAGTGAGTATATAGTATAAAATGGTATTTCATTAAAAYTATAATTTATATACAAGTATAGTAGACCTTCAAATTTTTCAAATTAAAAAAATTAAAAGGTATTTTAGCGGTTTTCAGATCATAAATATACTTTAATTACCTAGCCTTACCTATATAATTATTAAAATACAAAAAGTATCTTTATTCTTTGGTCAACGATGTATTAAAAATAATAAACTGTCATTTTTTAATGTAAATTGCATAACCCATAAATTTAATTAATTTAATTAAGACGTTTTGTTCTATCGTAATAATGTTGACCAAAATATAATATCATACTTACATATAATTACATAAGATGGGTGTGCGCACATTATTATTACACGATTATTGCCCCAAAACTGCTAATAACGTATTTTATATTAAAATTATTATAGGTCCCTTATAGAAATTGTAGAAATATATTCAGATGCAACTAAAATTGATCAAACTAAGATAGTCGCAGCGATTTATAATATTGGAATGAAGGCCGAATTATTCCAAGTTCAGTTATTGAAATTTCCATTAAGCACGAACAAAAACTGTACTGAAATTCAAAGTCAAGATGTATACATTTCCCYTTTTCATCGATACAATCATGTTYTAAATTTATACGGGCCACTTACCAAGTCCAACACCAATTGCACATGTAAAATGTTTTTTTATGACATCTATATGTATAGTTATATAATTACTACAATTAATGCAAACAATTAAATYATGTATATTGAAYAGTGCGGGTATTGGATAAATTGAACAATGTAATGGCTTGGAGACATATTCCCATAAKCGAAGCCAACCG